TATAATGATAATATATAAAAATAATATTAATAATATTTATTTTATAGAACAATTGATAAAATTGATAATCGTCCTTCGTTTAATAACTTTAATCATCGTGGAAGAATAATAAAAATATAAAATAACAATAGCTACAAAAATAAATACATTAATTAATATGAAATGTTACTCATCAGAACTACTACTTCCATGTTTAAGAAATTCTGATAGACGCACTGGTGTGCCTCCGGTATGATCTTCTTCGTGAACTTTATGTTTATGTTTCTTTTTTATTTTAAATAAATCAATTGGTGATAATTATAGTGTAAATATATAATACATAAATATTATGATATATTGTCGTACCTTATGAGAAGAACCACGATCACGATGATGATGATGATGATGACGATGATGATGACGAGTTTTATCATCTTTACATTTCTCCTCATCTGAAATTACTGATGAACTTTGAGAATCTAAACTAACGCTTCTTGTTGACTTGGAATGTTTACTATGTTTAAGGTTTCGATCTTTATGATGGTCGTGATGATGATGTTTATGCTAGATACACACACATAAGTATAACGATCTTTTGTATACAATAATAATAGTAATAATAATAATAATAATACCTTTAAATCGCTGTCATTATCATGTCCTTCCTTTTCATTATTATTATCATCGTCACCATCATATTCATCATTACCACTGTTTCCTTCATTTCCACTATGGCTTTTAGATTCACTCCTTTTTCTTTTACTCCCATGATGATGATGGTGATGTTTTTTATTTTTTTTTTTATTAGACTCCCCCACTTTAAATCCTTTCAATCTGGCCTCTCTTTCTTCGTCTAATTTCTGTCTATATTTTATAAGGTCATGTTCTGAAAATTGTGGCCCATCATGTTCTGTTTTGAGTTTACGAAATTCGTCCCTCGAAGTAAAAATAATTTTTTGCAAACCAAATATTTAATATTTGCATTAGGGACAAAAAGTAAGCGAAAGTCTCGTATATGGTATAATAGCTTTATTTGTATATAGTACTGAAAACAAAAAAAAAAGAAACTTAATAATGAAACTTTACCAGCTCATGCTAGCTTTTTTACGAGCATCTATATATTCTCGAATTGTTCCTCCTCGATCAGTATTTGACATTTTATTTATTATTATTATAAAGATTTAAATGTGTAAATCATGTGATTTTTAAAGTAAAAGATCTATATAGGGGTAAGGATGTTACACACCAAGATTTCATCAGGCCATTTTCACCAAGTTCACAAAACCAAAAGATCTAAAAAGTTTTGGTTCCTCGAAGTGAAAGAGAAGTAGTGGTCAAGATTTTTCACAACTAAAATTTTATTTTTTTCAAAAAGTTTTTTTCTAATTACAACAAGTTTCATTTCAATTAAACATTATTTTTTTTTGCTAACACCTCTTCTTTAAATGATGTGCCGGCCTTCAAGTGTTGCAATAACAGAGGTACTATGGGTTCCCAAACATGAGAGTTGATGATAGATTTATTAGATTATTATTGTTGTTGTTATCATTACTGACCTACATTATCATTTCACGTGACTTATAATTTAATTTTTTATTCAATATTAATATCAAATTCTGTCAACAAGAATTGATGTTTTGCTTTATCTACAGAACTATTTAAACGTTTCATTAATTTACTGACATATTTAACATCTTTTTTGTAGTAAATTCTTGTTGTTCTAAGAATCTTTTTACAGTTTCAGATGCTTTTCCTCCTCCTTCTATAGAAATAATAGTTTCCAGTTTTATGAATTTATAAATTTTTATTTTTATTATTCAATTATTAGGATAAAAGAATGTGCACATATTATGCCTAAGTCAAAACCAAGTTCTTTTATACATGCAAAAAAGATACTTTGTCACAACTGTGGAAAAAAGATTTTATTTTTTATTGTTAAAAGAAATCAGCTATGTCTTTCTTTGTTGTTAAAGGAATCAACCAAGTTGTCACCAAAAAAAAAAAGAATAATTGATATTATTTCTCTGTTGTTAAAGGATTCAACCAAGTTGCCACAAAAAACCCCCACTGTTATTAATATTAAGAAATTAAAATGACGCCAAAAAAATTAGCAAAATTTATTGTAAAACGTTATATATCATTTACAAATAAGGTTAAAATAGGCAATTGTTTTGACCAATTAAATCGTGAATTTAAAAATAAATGTTAATAGAAACATTTAATGTGGGTTAGATTCATTTTGTCAACAATCACTTCACCAACAAGCCCTTTAACAGTTGGTTAAAAAGTGTTAAGAAACAGAAATTTGATAAAATTTAATTTTTAATTCTTAAATTTTATTGGCTGGAATCAGGGCTGGCTGCGCAACTCAAATGAGCACTTGGCTAATTAGGTTTTTAACCCCTTTAATGTTTGATTGGAAGGCCTGTGACTTCCAAACTTCCAAACTTCCAAAATCTTCCATTGGAAGCTTCCAATGCACATCACTGCTGTATATACGAAAATTTATTATTACATTTCTCTCGAAATTAAAAATCTATGAAAAGAAAATTCGAAACAAATTTTTTCTATGTGAATTGACTTCCTTTTAAAAGCTGAATTGAATGGTGATGGTTTTTTTAAAATCCAACGTATGGATCATATAATATTTTAAATTTTTTAACTTTTGAGTATAGATGATTCGCACTGTAGAAAAAATTGTGAATATCATTACAACGAAGTGGCTGGACATAAACACTGTCTACATTTTTTATACTCAAAACTGGCACTAATTTGGTTTTGAATCGAATTTATTTTAAAATAAATGTTATTTTTAAGCCATACCATTTTTATGCAAATCAAATTACCCATCCATATAATTGCCAGAGTTCTTGAACATTAATTATCATTGGGCATTTTCAGATTTTATAGTCAATGTTTATTTCTAATATAAAAATATATGCTAAAAATGTTAAAATCTATTATTACTTGTTTATCATTAAGCTTGTGTAATTCTATTATTTTGTTGTTGTTTAGCTTCCAGATCTTTCAGACTCCATAAACTGATTCCAAATTTGTCATGTTCAAATGGCTGTGCCATGGATCTTAAAAATTTTTTTGCAATCACTAAAGCCATATCTGTTGATAAATTTATTGCTATATCTGTAATGTGTTGGTTTATCCATTTTGGTAATTTATTCCGTTTATCTGCTCTTCCAAATCTCTGGTAAATACAAAAAATAATAATTAACTACATAAATACGTATGTGTATATATAATATCAATATTTTTAAAATTAAAACCATTATTTAACTTTATCAGCAAATATCATAAGCCCGTAATCTGTTTTCCCACGTAACACTCTTCCTACGCATTGTGCTGCATGACGCATTGCATCAAATGTCAAAAAATCATTTTCACGTATTTGATAGTTGTCTCTAAGAAATTCCAAACGTGCCTACATTAAGTATATATATATTATTTATTTATCTGATTATATTTTTATTCGTAAATATATTTAATTACTTACTTTTAATATTCTACTCTCGGTATATTGATATGGTACACCAAAAATTATCACAGCACGACCATAATTATGATCAAAATCTATACCTTCTGACACTTTACCGCGAGCAACAGAAAGTAAAATGGCACCTCTACCATTGTCACATGCCTATTTATGACATAAAACATTAGTATTGTTATCATTGATATTGGATATTAACAAAAAAATTTTAAAAACAAAATTGTGTCATCTTAATCATTACTTTACGATAATTTTCCAATGCAAGGCTTGTCTCAATTGCATCAGGAGTTTCAATAAATATTAATTTATTTTTCAATGCTTCATTCAAAATTCCCTTTGAAAATAAAAATGGGGTTTTTTAATGATATGAGCTTATTATAAGAGAAACTACCAACAAAAGTAAGCTTACCATATCATTCCACATGGCCACAATTGATTCCATGTATAAATAGCTAGGGAAAAAAGCCACAATGCCATCAGGAACTATTTTTGAATACTCTACAAGAATTTGCCCAAAATTTCTTACTACGGCAGGATCATTTCTTACTTCAAATTTTGAACTTATTGCCACTTGATCACTTCCTCTAGTAATAACCTAAAATAATATTCTTTTATATTCAATAATTAAAGACACTACAACATCAAGTCAAAATGTTGTAAAGATAGATAAATACCAGTGGTAGAAAGCAGTTTCTAGTAAGACTCATTGAATAACTTTCTTGAATCACAGCACGAAAATTCAACATTTTTGGATACATGTCAAGAGGTGATAATGTTCCTGATGTAATCACTACAGTTTTAAATCTTTGAAAAACTGGCTTAATTGCAATAGAGGCATCAAGACATCTATATTATCAGTTTTTTTTTTTAATCAAAAAATTAATATTCAAGTAAAATCATATTCACATAAAATGATTAAATTGAAAACTAACGTGAGATGAAGTACTGGATTAGGTATGGTATCATTTTCAAAAGGTTCCAAAATCAACAAAAAGCCTATTGAAATTAAAATCTTATTTATTATAGGCATAATTCATTCTAATAAAAATTTTTATATTTTATAATTCTTAATTGCCTGTATTATAAGTTGCAACTAATGTTGCAAATCCAGCAACTTTATGTAATGCATAATATTCATCAAGGTTAGTTAGCTCCAGAGTACGAATCAATGAGGTCAGTCTTTGACTGCAAAATCTATATGTGTATATATAAGAATGTTATTCATAAACAAATATTTCTTTATCATAGATCCCTAAAACTAACCTTAAAGGCTTTTGATCTATAAATGTAACATCTCTAACATTTTGAAGAAATGATACAGGTGTCTCAGCAACCACATGTTTTATACGCATTCTAGTCTTATGTTGAATATTTTGAATTATCAAAGAATAAAATTACAAAATTATGTCAATATGATGCTAATC